CTGCTCCATTCTCAGGGTCAGGGCCCAAAAAAACAACTCGGTCAGTTTCTGAGCAGAACCTTCCCAGCCAAAGGGGCCATGGAGCAGATCTTGGGAAGTGGAGGGCAGGACGGGAGAGGGCAGCCTTAGGGGTTCACCTGCCCCATCAGGTAGGAATGGGGTGCGAAGACTCTGCCCGTCACCGTGTAGTGTGTGTCACCATGGAGGCAAAGCTTGGGTCCCATGCAGAGAGTGGCACTTGTCCTCAGATCCTGAAAAAGTCCCAGCATCTCACACCGTTGAGTCCCACCCCATGGTTCACCAGAGAAGGAAGGGACTTACCCATCTTGACAACAATGACAGTTGCCAAAGCTGTCACTAACCCCTCTCTTGACCCCTAGGTGACAAGAGAGAATAGTGTCAGCCACCGTCTTTGGCCACCAGTGAGAAAAAGGACACATTGGTCAGGGCAAGTGACCAGATCAACCTTGACCTTCAGCAGGGAGACTGAGGCCTCTGACCGTCCATCCTCTTAGCCACCTCACCAGTTTCAGATTCTCCTATCCTCTGGGACTGGCCAGGAGAGGCTCCTCAGCATTCCATAGCCCCAGACACAAGCAGGTCCCACAAGCCAGCTCTGGAGCCTAACCCCTCCCTCACTCCAGGAGAGCGTCCAAGCCCTAGAGGGGGACAAGACCCCAGAGAGAACTGAGCCTGACGTCCAGTGCTCACCCGGCTCTGCATAAACTTACCTGCGCATCTAGAGCTTGCCAGGTGCAGGGATACTAAGACATAAGAATAACCCGGAAACTTCTCCCAAAGGGTTCATGGTCTGATGACAGCAGGTGGCTGCAGATGGCAGATTGCAACAGGACATTTAAAAGGCCGAGAGGCAGGAGAGCCAAGGTGCTCTGGCAACACAAGTTGTCTCTGGCCAGGAGGTGAGATGGCCCAGGAAAGCTTCCTTCGAGGGCTGTATATGTCTGCAAGCAGGTGGATTTGATAGAGCTGAACACCTTACACCAACATCTGTCGACCCCAAGGGCTATACCTTATGATCATCAAGGTTGTTCTCCCAAACTCCCTTGATGATTGATATGTACCAGGCACAGGGATCATCTCTTTTTAGATTTAGTTCTCAGTACGATCCTTAACTGTAGGTTATTATCATTGTCTTTCTTCTCAGGTGAGGAAACTGAAGTCCAGGGAGATTGAGTAAAAACCCAAAGCCCAGCCCCACTGGGTGGCAGGGTCAAGACCCAGGGCACTATGACCCCCGTACCTGGTCCTTAGCCATCACGGAGACTACCTTTCCAGCACCACCTTGCTCTTCCTGTGTCAACTTCCATGACGTGGTACCCCCTTAGCAGGCTGATCTCTCTGTGTTCACAAGCTTTCTGTTGCTGGCCCCGAAGCTCTGGGCTGCAAGTCCCAGAGCAGGCATGTCCTCTGGGTCTCTATCAGGTCTCTTCAAGCAGATGCTTGTGTCAGGTGAGCACTGAGTCCCCAGGTGTCTGAAATGACTTTGTCACCTGTTTACCTGTCAGTCACCTCCACCACCTGGTGAGCCCTTTAAGGCAGCACCCGTGGCTTTGAGAGAAGAGAAAAGGTCATTTTGACTAAAATAAACAAAAGCTTCCCCCAAATTCTCCAGCTTGTAAAGGGCTCCATGTACCCGATGGCTGCCCAATGTCAAAAGCATGCAGTTGCTTGCATGCATCACCCTCTCCCCACCATTTCCCTCTTGCTCGCTGGGTCTTGTGACATGAGGCTAATCAGAAAGATGCCTGTAGTTTCCTTTCTGGTTAGAAGAAACTGGGGGAGGGGGTGAGTGTGCATAGCAGATGGTGTGAGCAGGGGACATGGCATCGAGTGACACATGGGTGTGGAGCATGGGGGTGTGGTGCGTGTGCGTATTGTGTTACAGGTGTATCTTGTAGGTGGGACACAGAGGGTGATTTGTGTGCGGTGCACAGAGTGTGTGGTCTGTGGGTGACGTGGCATGTACTTAATATGTGGTGCGGTGTGTGTGTGAGGAGTGCTGTGCTGTGGCGTGTGATTTGTGGCACATGCTATGTCTGTGGCCAGTAATACGTGAGGTGGAACATGCATATGATCTGCTGTGAGGTTGGGGGTGGTGTCTGGGTGGTGTGAGATATGAGATAAGTGACATGTGGCACGAGGAGGGAAAGAGAAAGTCCTTCTTGTGCCCACTCTGGCTTCTTGGCTCAGTCTGGGCTCTGTGGGAGCCTTTGTCCCTTTGGGTGAGACCACAGACTGAGACCAGGGGCATCCCATCCCGACAGTGACATAGGAACCATCATTAGGAGAGAAAACCCGGGCACAGTGCCCCCCACCAAGGCGAAGCCAGTTTTCTCAGCTGCGGAAATCCCTAAAAACCTAGGAACTTAGCTTCAGGAAGGCCAATGAGACTCAGACATAGAGAGCCCTGTGAATGGGCAGAGCCCCAGGCCCAGAAGCAGGCAGTGGGAGGGGAGCCCCTCACATTTTTAACTCTTCTCACACTCAGGTGCCAGGATGGTGGCCAGAACATGACCTGGGGATACAATTCCCACTTATCATCTCCAGTTCACCGTGGGATCAGCTCCATGCCTAATGGAACCCTTCCAAAATCTGGAGCCACGTGGCTGTCTCAGAACCCTATCCTGATCCAGAAGCTCAGTGCAATGCCATGCCTTTCTCTTAGCATCAGTCGATGCAGATCCTTGGATTCCAGCAGCACTTATTAAAATCCCAACCATTGTCTTATCTGCTTCCTGCAGTTGGGTGTGACTCTCCTTAGCCCCTTAAAAAATCCCCTCCTAGCCAGGCATGGTGGTACGCGCCTATAATTCCAGCAGCTCATGAGGCTGAGGCAGGAGGATCGCAAGTTCAAAGCCAGCTTCAGCAAAAGTGAGGCCCTAAGCGACTCAGTGAGACCCTGTCTCTAAATAAAATGCAAAATAGGGCTGGGGATGTGGCTCAGTGGTTGAGTGCCCCTGAGTTCAATCCCCAACACCAAAACAAAACAAAACTCCTTGGCCCCCCAGCCCATGAATTTCTCCCCTCTCCCCTCCCTATCACCTCCAGCACTTTTAATATATGGATCAGCTTGGCTTTTTTTTTTTTCCCACAAGAAGGAACATTTTTGGTAGGGGGTGGAGCAGGCTGGAAATTTCAGGATTTGAATGAGAGGTGTGTACGGAAGAGCACCACACTAAAGATTTTGGATCCTGGTGCACTAAACCATGTAGCCCATGTGAGTTTCACGTTCTTCCCAGGACTCTGCTCCCATAGCTGTTAGGGCAACTATTACCCTAGCAACTCTCTGCTTTGCAGAATTGAAAGCTTTGAAAGAGTCATACTAATGTCTGGGCAAAGCAGACATTTTAGGAGAGAAGAATAGTACCTCCGTAAGTTATTTTTCTTATCTTTCTACCACGGAGGCACTGCCCATAGCAGCCCTGCCAAACACGGAGGAAAGCTACAGAGATTCCACTTGAAGCACAAATTGAAAACCCACACCAGCATCTCATCGTCTTTCCATGATCTCATGCTGGGACATGGGGGGAGGTCTGGGAGGGTTTGCAGGTGACATTCCTTCATTACCAAGGACAGAGAAAGAGAATACACGCACAACGCTTTCCCCCCAGTCTTTCTACAATCACCCTCAACCTTCTGCCTCTCATCTCTCTGGCTTGTAAGATGAAGGTGACCACGAAGTGGAACAGTGCCTTAGAACTGGACTTTGGGACCTGCTCAACCTTTTCTTACTCAATGTGAGGCTTCGGGCACATTGTTCAACCTCTCTGCCTCAGTTAGCTATTACTTCCAAATAAGCCACTTCAAAACTTAATGGCTTAAAACAGCACCCAGTGATTCCCTCTTCTGTTCTGGATGGTTCTGGTGAGCCAGGCCTGGCTGATCTTGGCGGAGCTCCCTGGTGGCAGACTGGCTGGGGTGAGCCGATCTGGGAAGGCCTTGGCTATGCCACCCAGGCTCTGCTCCACATGGTCCCTAGTAATTCAGATTCTCAATTTAACTACCTGCCATATATCCTCTAAGTTCAATGTCCTTTAAAAAAAAATTAAGGTGAATTGCACATAACATCAAATGAACCATTTTAAAATGAACAGCTCAGTGGTATTTCCACATTGTTACCCAATCACCACCTGTCTCCAGTTCCAAAACTTTTATTCCCCCACAAAATAAAGCTCTCTACCATGAAGTTGTTACCTGGCAACTTCCCTTCCCACCCTACAGCCCCTTCTGGCCAACCTTCAATCTGCTTTTTTGGATTTACCTATTCTGGCTATTTCATGTAAACGGAGAATATGTGACCGTTTGTGTCTGGATTCTTTGATTTAACATAGGGTTTTCAAGGTCCAGCAGAGGTTGTAGCGTGTGTCTACACTTCATTCCTTATTACAGCTGAATAATATTCCTTTGCATGCAACTGCCCTAGTTTGTGTCTCTGTTCACCAGTGTAGGATGTGAGGAACGTTTCCCCCCCTCTTGGTTCTTGTGAATAGTGCTGTCGTAGCAGCTATTTCAGTACCTGTTTTCAGTTCCTTCCGTTCTATACCCAAAAAAGGAGAAGAATCGCTGGGTCATAGAACAATCCTATGTTTAACTTTTTTGAAAAACCCAGCTTCCTTTCATTTAAGAATAGATATAATGAGATCACTTGGAGGGATTGCTGGGAGTGGTAGAGAAAGTGCACGTGATGCACCCTGCGTTGTACAACCTCCAGCAATGGCTTATATAACTATCCTTTTTTTCTTTAATCCAATCACCATTTATGGAGCCCGGGATCAGGAATTTGTGAGATGCTATATAGATATATGGATATCTAAGATATAAAATATCTATAAAACATATGTCTATATTTTTATAGACTTATAAATACATCCCCTGGGTCCCTTCTAGCACAGACTTACAATAGCTCCCTCCTTGCTCCCTGCCTGGCGTGTCCTTCAGCATGAGAAGACAAAAGGCTCTCCCTCCCTCCCTCCCTCCCTCGCTCCCTCCCTGGGCCGATTCCCCAGAAGGCTGCGGGCATCATTGCTCCCCACCTGAATCAGTTCAGACCACCTATTTCAGATCTGTCGGCTCTTATAAATGTAGCCACACACCCGCAAAGTGAGATAAAATGGCAATGTGATTAGTGTGTGTGTGTGAGTGCGAAGGCTCATGTGTCCCTGTCTCATTCCTTTTGTAAAGATTAATACATCAGAGAGAGCACTTACGAAAGGAAGAATAAAAAAATAAAAAATAAAAAAATAAAAAAAACACCAAACCAACAACCGGGTCCAATTCTCTAGACATTCAATAACCAAATGTCACCCCCATGGTAAGCAATAAAATAAAAATATATGCTTAGCAGAGGCAACACAAATATGATCTATATTTTGAAGTTGGATAACAGAACAGTAGCATAAAAATAATACCCGGTGGCAAATTCAGGAAAGAGACCTTTTTAAAATGTGGCCTTCCTTTGGGTTGCCATTTCTAAAATATCGCCACGTCTCAAACTGTAAAACGGGCTGGTTTAAATCTGACAGGAGCACTCAGTGTAATGAGGGCATGGGAATTCTTGCCGGCGTTCCGGCCCAAAGCAGCGTCTACCTCCCCCTCCTTCCCACACCCCTCCTCCTAAGAACCACCCCCCTCCACCTGCTGGCTCTGGAATCCCCTACTTTTCAAAACTCCTTCACAAACCTGATTCCACTTGACCTTCACAATCTGCTGGGAGGTCCTGAAGACAAGTACATTATTGTCATTTTATCGTTGGGGAAATAGAGGCCACAGAAATGGTCTTAACCTAGGATTAGAAACCCACTTACCTGCCCCCTCCACTCCAGAAAGAGAACAATTCTTTTCTGCCTTAGAAACTATCATTTTCTGCTCACTCCAAAGTCATTAGAAAGATTTCGACATAAAACTGACCCACTGCTGGGCATGGTGGATCCTTCTGGTGATATCCCAGCTATTCAGGAGGCTGAGGCAGGAGGATACACAAGTTCAAAGCCAGCCTGTGCCACTTAGCAAGACCCTCAGAAACTTTGCAAGACCCTGTCTCAAAAACAAATAAGCGTTGGGCACGTGGATCAGTGGTGAAGAGCCTCGGGGTTCATCCCCCGTAAGAAAAACAAAAATAGAAACAAAAGCTGTCAATCCTCTGTAGACTAGCACAAATCTAGATTCCCAGTTATTATTTGTTTAAGGCATAAAAACCCATTTTTTCTGCATCAACCAAACCAAAATATAATCAAAAAGATAAATCTGAAGGTGTATCAGAAGCATCAAAATATATTTTAAAATAGATGCTGTGTTTCTTAAATATATGCCTTTTAGGAGTCTAAATTACTGAGATGAGATTTTTCTAAAAATTTGACTTGTCTACCTCCAAATTAAAGCTCTAAGAATGGGATGTATGTTGTGTTTTGTGTGTGCATATATGTGTGTGTGTGTATTTAAATATTTTTTTAGTTGCCAATGGACCTTTATTTATAATTTTTTTTTATTTATAGGCAATGCTAAGAGTTGAACCCAGTGCCTCACACATGTGATGAAGCAAGCACTCTGCCACTGAGTCAGCCCTGGATATTGTTAATATAGAGAAAAGAGCAACTAGTTACATGTCCCCAAGCAAGTCCCTTGACCTGAGTTTTAATTTCCCCATGATGGAGAGAATAGAACTAGATGATCTCTAATTTGCTTACTAGCTCTGAAATGTCATAATTTTATCTCTAGAACAAAATATTCAATGTCATTCAGAGAAAGCCTTGTGTTGCTCACAGCAATGTCAGCAAAAGGTCCCTGATGGAACCCAACCTCTAATGCATTCCTGGGTAGAAATAAAAAAGTCTGTCTTAGGAACAAGAAGACTGAGCCCTGGTCCTGTATCAGCCACTAATTCACTGTGTGACCTTGAGATTCTCCTTTGCCAAATGAGGAATTGGTCTCAGTAAGAAAAATATGTCATATCAAGTGCCACTGTCACTAAAAGACTGTAGCTGCCTAGAGTTGAAACTGCATATGACTAAAAGGAAAGAGTGCTGGGATTGATTAGTGATGTCTGCCCCAGGTGAGGGCGTCAGGCAGCTGGGCGGTTATGAGCCTTCCCTTGAGTAGATGCTCTCTGAGCTCCTCCTCTGACTTGGCGCTAGTCGGCTGTGAGTGGCACGCAGAAAACCCAAGGCTTCGGAATCACTGATGCACAGGAAGCCGAACTTGGTTTGTTCAACTGTTTTTATATCATCCATGGCTTGGGTTTGAATAATCTGTCCCCTGATACCACTGTATTTCAGAAATTGCTACCTAAGGCAAATTCTCTACTTTTAAACTCATTTCCTGAGTCAGTCTTTTTAAGCCCCACATTAAATATTGATCTGCCCTGGAGAGATCTAACTTATTTAGTTGAGACGTGTTTGACTTCTCCAGAACTGTCAAGCTCAGAAATGGGGCCATACCCCTCCTGAAGCAATAACCATCTAGGAGAGTGACAGACAAGCCAAGGACTCTGGAACCTGTGTCTTTTGCTCTGAGTCTCAGGGATAAAAATCTGCCTTCCTGGTTGCCCAGATAGCTGTCTTACTCCAGATTTTCAGAGCTCCTCTGAGAACCTTTCCCGTAAGAATGGATGTCTGGAGGTCAAGGTCCACTAGGTGCAGGTCAGACTTTCCACCCTGCCCACCCCCAAAGGGGAACCACAGAAACTCTTCTGCTTGCTCCCAAGGTGTTATTTTGAGAGGTTATCACCA